CGAGTATATTTGGGAAATCCCTCAAGGTTTCGAGGATAATCGTAACAGTATGCACAGTTTCCATATGCACAATTTCAGGGTGCCCTTACAATGGCGTTTATTGCACTTGAAAGACTAGTGTATTTTCTTCTATAAAATTATTGCCGTTTGTGGTGCTTCGAAATCCATTCCAGTAAAAATTAATCCAACAAATTTTTTCATACATATTTTCCCATTGTACTCAAGCAGGTACACCTGTTTTCAAATCAACTTACCTTCGCTTTTCCAAAATTGTTTTTTATTTCTTATTCATATACTTATGTACGTAGTTATTTCCTGCACTGATTTTAAAACTCAAAACTTTTTAGGGAAAACAAAGTCTCATCACCAATGCAAAATTCGAAATAAACTTTAAAAAAACAAAAATTTGTTAAAAAGCCTCTACCAAACAGATTGCCATAGCAAAACTAATTTTTTTTTTCTGCTTCAAATTATGAAATGCGTTACTACGCCACCTTAGTCCAACTTTCATTTCGAAAAAAATTTAAAATTATAAAAAATTTATAAAACTATTAAAAAAAATTACATGGTTTTTCCGTACTCATGTGAGTACAATGGTAATAAATGGGTTAATGTACGCAGAAAGGAATTCTGCTTCTCTTCTGCGGCAACACAGAAAGGAAAATTCTACGTATGGAGGATTATATTTATAAAGGGAATCAAATTTCCTATCAAATTTCTAACATCCATGCATTCGTTTTCAAAAAATTTTGATTTAAAGAATTGTTTAATTTGAACTTTGACTCTTAATAACTTCTGTAGTTGTTGTTTCCATAAAAAAAATAAATATACCGTTATGTTCAGCTCGATCATCTCTATCGACCCCAATATTAATTTTTTTTATTTGAAAATCGGAGCTATTCTGCATTTGTTCCAAAATTTTAATTCGTAGTCGCGCCAAAATGTCAAAGGAGCACAAACGTCAAATCGAAATGTCACGCAACACAAATCTTGGAATTTGAGTTAGCTTTCTACGCACGCCGGTCAATTTCGGTTGGTCCCATACAAGTTGTATGTGCATGAGAAATTTTTGACAGTAAACTGCCGTCGTGCGTGAATATTAGGTTGGCCTGTTAGGTTGATAAAACTATGTGTTTGTTTAATAATTAAGTTAAACTATATATTTTAATAGTGTTTAAAAAGTGAGAAGAGGTGATTTAGTGATTTTTTGTCAGGGTAATTGCCCATATAAAACAATGAAATTTAACAAAAGTTTTTTGTTAATAACTTTTAAATGGTTAATAATATTAACCTTCTGCCCCGAATTCTTGATACGGGGACCGAAACGCGTCGATTGATACCCCTCTCGACATTTCCGAACCTTTTTAAGCAGTTGTTACCCTAAACTAGAGAATTACCATTAATTTATGTAAAATTTAAGAAAAACGGCAACCTGGAGCAAACAGTTCATTTCAAATTTCGAACTTGTTCGTTCGATCAAATCAGTGAACTAGTTCATTGAACTAGAGCTGGGATACCATCCATAGTACCGCCACTCGATAGTTTTCGAAACGATAGTTGAAAACATCGGTAGTATCGAAAATTAATTAATTAATAAATTTATAAAATTTGTAAATTAAAGAGATTATATAAATTTGTTTAAGTTTGAGTGCATCAAAAAGAGCTCCTTATAATAATAAAACAAAATTAGTCATTTATTCGTCTGCGTTATATATACATATGTTTGTCCCTTTTGAAGTGCAAAGAAGTAAAATTGGCTATAATAATGCATTTCTAATACTACAAAACAAACGAAACAAAATATTGTAGTAGTGTAATCACTGTGTAATAGCAATAAGAACAAAATAGTAGAAACATGGCAATACTGCCATGGAATAAGTAAAATGTACTAATGTATCAAGATGGCAATACCGCCAACGAATAATCGCCATTCCATTGTGTGTCGGCTAAAAGATATTCCTCTAAATTGACGGCGGATACCATGATTCAACACCTACAGGTTGTAGCAATCGTACAAAAACAACATTTACGGTTGGTATGAACTCCTTGTGGCATCAACATTTTCTTTATCTATTTATATTCGTATGTATATGTATACCCTGCACACCAGGATTTCATAGAATTCTGAAAGGTTTCACAATTTTTTTTTAAGAATTTTCTTTAAGAAATCGTACAGAAATTTATTACTAGCTCCTGTCACCCGCTTCATATGTTTCTCTCTAAAGATTTCTAAAAGAATCGTAACAAATTTCCGACACTCTTAAAGATTTCGAGAGCATTTGTTTGCAGGGTATATATATACGTATATGTGTATGTATAGGCGGATATGTAAATAAAGCAAAACAGACGATAATTTGACACAAGCGTGCTCATAAGAAGAAGCATAGCTTCTATCGCTGTCACCTGTAATTGATGCGCCTTGGGCGCATACTTATAAAAGTTCAACTGAGATCAAATGCGGAGGCGCATATCAAAATCCGGACAAAGGAAATTATTAACACTTTACCATATTATAAGAAAACGAATCAAGTATTGTTCAAAATAATAGCACCACAACATTTTAGCAGTTTTGACTGTTTTTTGTTTGTTTAGTGTCTACTAATTTTGGAACAAATGCAGTTGGGCTCCAAATCTCAAAAAAAAATAAATAAATATTGGAATCGATAGAGATGATTGAGCTGAGTATAACGGTATACTTCTTTTGGGTACTGTTTAGTAAGTGGCCCACCTATTTCGGGGTATTGCGTCCAAAGGGGTGACCCGATCCAAAAAAAAAAAATGCACACACTTGTAGCCAAAGGTCTACCCATTATTTTAACATCCACTATTGTAATTTTGGGTCACTAATTTATTTACAAATTGGGTTTGAAATAAGCCCTTTTTTGTAAAATTCGGAAATTAGCGTAAATTTATCACTCCTATTCTCCTTAAAGCAGCTACATCAGCAATATATTTTTATATTCTCCTTCACTTTACACTTTACTCGATGAGCTATAACTTTCTTTATAACTTTAATATTAACCAATTAATCACAATTTATTAAATAAAAACACCTTCTAAATCATGCGTCTGACTTTTGTTGCATATGCAAATTAAATGGCGTAGTTCAGCTGTCAAACTCCAAAATATGCAAAAGAATGAGAGAAAGGTGTTCTCTGTAAAAGGTATTCAGCTCCCTTTCTTCGCAAAACAGAAAGGAGAATTCTACTGTCTGAGGGTTATAATCCCTAAGTGCGGCCGAAGGCCGCCTACGTAGAAAGGTGTTCTCTGCAAAAGGTGTTCAGCCCCCCTTCTTTGGCAACACAGAAAGGAGAATTCTACTGCCTGAGGGTTATAATCCCTAAGTGCGGCCGAAGGCCGCCTACGCAGAAAGGTGTTCTCTGCAAAAGGTGTTCAGCCCCCCTTCTTTGGCTACACAGAAAGGAGAATTCTACTGCCTGAGGGTTATAATCCCTAAGTGCGGCCGAAGGCCGCCTACGCACAAAGGTGTTCTCTGCGAAAGGTGTTTAGCCCTCCTTTTTTCGCCTGATAACCACCTTGGGATAACTTCTTTTATTTAAAAACCCCACAGATTCTGTTAGTTGGGTTATAATCCACTTCAAACTGCTCAGTTTGCCTCGCAAAATGCCGTTTTTACCCCATTTTCAAACGGTTCCCTAGGGGTCTGTGGGAGGTCCCCAAGGGGGGTGGGGCTTTTCGTAAAGTGGCGACTGGCCCATTTCGAATGAGGGGGGTTTGGGGGCCACGCCCCCTCCCCCTCCACCCCCACCCCAAAAACGTAGGCCAATAACTAAACATTTCCCCTTCTTTTTTTCGGCAAACAACAACAACAAAAATTATCAAAGGTTAAAGTTCACAATAAGCAATTCTTGAGTTAATTCTCTAGGGTGGGTAACAACCCCTAAAAAAGGTGTGGAAAAGTCGGGAGGGGTACCATACGACGCGTTTCGGCCCCCCTAATAACAGTCCGGAGGGGGGGGGGGGAGATAATGTTATTAACCATTTAAAAGTTATCAACAAAAAACTTTTGTTAAATTTCGTTGTTTTCTATGAGCAATTACCACGTCAAAAATGCACTAAATCACCAGTTTCCACTTTTAAAACACTACTAAAACGATTCCGGTTATTATTTTATGCAAACCAAATCATTTATTCACTTTTATTTTATATATGTCGTTGGTAATTCTCTAGGGTGGGGTAACAACCCCTAAAAAAGGTGCGGAAAAGTCGGGAGGGGTACCAAACGACGCGTTTCGGCCCCCCTAATAACAATCCGGAGGGGGGGAGATAATGTTATTAACCATTTAAAAGTTGTAATGGCACCCTGTCCATTTCATTTTAAATCGAAATCTAAACATATGGGCCACCTCGTCATCTGCCTTGTATAAAGGACAGCGATAGCGATGGGAGAGGCAGAGTTTTTACACAACAGCCAACGACAGAACAACACAATTTGGAAACGACGACGACAACGACAAAGGCGAGCGACGAACGAGGAGAAACAAAGAGCACTGAATAATCTAGAATCTTTTTTGCTATACAGCTATTTTACTTCTTTATTAACTTTGTATATTCAACACATGTTACAAATAAATGGCAGTAACATATTTTTCCAAATTAACCGTTCTCCGAATTAAGTGTTGTTGGCTGTTGGTAAAGATTTCGATTCGTGTGGTATTTTTTGAGAATAGTTTTTGCGCCAAAATTGCAAAAGTAAAGTTGGGAGATTAACCTTAAGTGCTCGAAGGAGTGAACGTGTGTGGCATGCCAGGTAGCATGTATAACTTGCGAAGCATTGAAAGGGATCAAAGCGAACACCAAGATTCCGAGGAAAATGCAGAAGGAGTGCAACAGACCCAGCTAGCCACGATTGTAGCCAGCCTTAATGCACTTACAAATGCAGTCGCACAGCTAAAAACAGTAACTGAGGAAAGCCAGCGGGATATTGAGCGCTTGAGGAATAATATTCAGATTGATGTGCAACAGGCATCGCAGCCAAATCTCATCGAAGCTACGCATCAGAGTTCGTCAGTGTCTTATCCAGAAGGGCCTGTGCAGAGTACCGCATTAGCAGCCAGCGAATCAGTCACTAAATTGTATGACCTGCCAATTTTTTCTGGAAATTCTGACGAATGGCCCCTTTTCTTGGCAAATTTTAAGGACACAACACAGGCGTTTCGCTACAGCAATCGTCAGAATTTAATGAGTTTGCATAAATGCCTAGTGGGTCGTGCTAAGGAGACTGTAGCTTCAATGCTAATATTTCCGGAAGATGTTCGAAATGCCATAGCCGAATTAGAATTTCACTTTGGTCGGCCAGACCTTTTAGTGAGAAGCCAACTCAACAAAATTCAGCAATTTCCAAATATTGGAGAGAATAAGGCGGAGCAAATTATATCGTTCTCCACAAAGACGAGGAATATAGTCGCGTTTTTAACATCAGCTAAGTGCGAACATCATCTTGCCAATACGACGCTTTTGGAGCAGCTAGTCACGAAATTGCCACCCAGCAAGCAATACGAGTGGACCCGCCACGCAGTCAGTATCAAGCCATACGCAACAATAAAAGAATTTTCTACCTGGTTAAGCGATCTTGCAAGAGTAGTGTGTCTCATTCCGCCGCCAACCGCAACCACGAGAAGCTATCAGCCTACATCTCAACAGCAGCCACCACGATGTATGATGCATGTTCGAAAAGAGCAGCAACCAGAACGCCTTGAAGGTATCAAGTGTTACGTGTGTGAAGGCGCTCACTCTATCTTTAATTGCCAAGCCTTCAAAGACATGACCATACGAAATCGTTGGGAAAAGGTGAAAGCCATTCAACTTTGCTTTTCGTGCTTACATAAAGGGCACAATACATCGAATTGCCGTTCAAGAAGAGTTTGTGACGTTGATGGTTGCCGCCGGTATCATCATCGTAGCCTGCATGAAAGTTCTAGCTCGACGCAAAATACAAATGCTACACGTAGTCGAATCGAATCGCAACCCGTGCTCAACTGCAGAGACGCCGAGTGTAGAAAAGGTCAGTTTTTTAAATACGTTCCAGTTTCACTGTTCGGACCGAATGGTCGAGCAGATGTTTTCGCAATGGTAGACGAAGGTTCTGCCATATCATTGATCGAAGATAACGTAGCAAGCCGCTTGGGTCTCAAAAGTAGGAGACAGCCACTAACGCTTCAATGGTATGGCCAGAAGTGCACAACCGAGGAGTCATCGAAAGTGAGCCTTGAGATAAGAGGCAAAGGTTCGCCATCAACATACAGTCTGCGCAACGTATGCACCCTACGTAGCCTTGATTTGCCCGCGCAGTCGTTTACAAAAGCCGATTATGCCCACTTTGGGTTTTTGCCGATAGAGGACTACAGCCAAGTCAAGCCGTCGTTGCTGTTGGGCCTTGATAATACGTCGTTAAGCGTGCCGTCTACGACTGTACAAGCCAACAGTCAAAGCCCAGTAGCCATTTGTACCAAACTTGGTTGGATAGCTTACGGCCCAACCAGTTTGTCGCCACAAACACCAGTCGTACTACATGTCCGCGAGCGAAAGCGCCCAGCCACACTAAACGAACTCGTCACCGAGTATTTTGCCGCCGACAACTTTGGAGTAGGTGAGTCGCTCAAGCAGATTGAGTCTGAGGAGGATCAGATGGCCCGCCAGATGCTGGAATACAACACTCGCCGCGTGGGTAAGCGTTTTGAGAGCGCACTTTTGTGGAGAAGCATTCCACCAGCACTTCCTAACAGTTACGACATGGCCTACAAGCGACTGTTAGGAATGGAACGTAAAATGAGAGTCGATTCCAGTTTTGCCGCCAAGTATAAGGAGGAAATCACTAAATATCTGCGCAATGGTTACGCCAGAAAGCTGTCCGACGAAGAAGTATGTATAAAAACAGATTTTAAATGGTATTTACCGCATTTTGCAGTTCATAACCCGCACAAGCCTGAGAAGATGAGGATCGTATTCGATGCAGCCGCCCAAGTCTATGGCGTAGCATTGAACTCCGCTTTGCTCAAGGGACCTGAGCACGCCAAGCCATTATTGAACATTTTATTTAAGTTTCGCGAAGGCGCTGTTGCAGTCGCAGCAGATATTCGTGAGATGTTTTCTCAAGTTGTTGTAAAAGAGCGAGATCAACATGCCCAAAGATTCCTATGGCGTGATGGAAACAGTGATCGTCCAGTGGAACACTACGTAATGCAGTCAATGGTCTTCGGAGCCATATGCTCGCCGTGCATAGCAGAATTTGTGAAAAATAAAAACGCCGAAGATTTTCGTCAACAGTATCCTGAAGCCGTTACAGCCATAGTCGAAGGTCACTATGTCAACGATTTTGTCGCTAGTTTTAAAAACGAGCGAGACGCCGAACGCATTTGCAGGGAGGTCGTGAATATTCATTCGGAAGGGGGGTTCCAACTGCGATCATTTGTCTCAAACATCAAGCAGCTGCAAGATAGCCTGAATAAAGAGCCAACAACGTCACAGTCTGTGAACTTAGAAAGCCGTGCGAACTACGAGAAGGTATTAGGAATGCGTTGGAACACGGTGACAGATTCCTTTGAGTTTCAGCTCAATTTTCACCGGGTTTCTAAAGCCGTATTAGAAGGAGTTCGTCCACCAACCAAGCGCGAACTTCTCAGCATACTCATGTCAGTGTTCGATCCGTTTGGCATACTTGCCGACTTTCTACTGTTTGCCAAAATATTAGTTCAAGAGGTGTGGAAGAGTTCCATCGAGTGGGACGAAGTGATCCCGAATAGTTTGCATCACAAATGGTTTGCCTGGTGGAGTGAGCTCAGACACGTTAGTAATGTGCAAGTCAGGCATTGGTATTCGCCTCAGCTTCAAGCTGCAGTATCAATTCAACTACACGTAGTAGTAGACGCCAGTCAAGCAGCATTTGCCGCCGCTGCTTATTTTCGTGTCGCCAGCGCCGAAGGTTGTGATGTCACCTTTGCGGCAGGAAAAACCAGAGGCGCACCGCAGAAGCTGTTACCGGTGCCGAGGCTTGAACTGCAAGCCGCAGTTTAGGCGTCCGACTCGCGAATCTAGTCTGCCAAGGCCACAGTATTCAAGCCAGCCAAATATTCTTCTGGTCAGAATCACAAACGCTGATACAGTGGGTCAATTCGAAAGAGCGAAAATTTAAACCGTACGTTGGTCACCGCATCGCAGAGATATTGTCATTAACCAAACCTCCACAATGGCGTTGGATACCCACCGACAAAAATACATCGGATGTCGCTACGCGTCCGACGTGGCCACTCAAGATCGAACTGCCTAGTCCATGGTTGCGTGGTCCAGAGTTTTTGCGATTTCCGGTTGACAGTTGGCCAGCCACAAGTTGTGCACATATGCCAGATCTGCTAGAGGAAGAAATCAAGCCTTGCCTTTACATACAAAACGAGGTAAATAATTGCTTGATAAAATTTAACCGCTTTTCTTCATACTTCAAGATGAAACGGATGACAGCCTGGGTCCTGCGAGCTGCGGGCAAGTTTCTACAATTACAGCGTAACTACGAAAATGACGATGAGGCCAGCCAAAGTTCAGCATTAACCGCAGTTGAACTTGACAAAGCCGAGAAATACATCGTCAAAGCAGTCCAGCATGAAGTCTACAAAGAAGAGGTAGCAGCACTAAGCAGGGGCGAACAACTTCACAAACAAAGCAGTATTAGGACGCTAACGCCGTACCTTGACAGCGATCGTGTTATGAGGATTCAAGGGCGCTTAGACGAAGCCATGGTTTTGCCCATAGAGACAAGGAGACCGATTTCGATGCCGTCCAAACACATCGTCTCCGAGCTCATAATGCGCCAGTATCACGAAAAGCAACACCACCAGAATTTCTCAGTAACGTTGTACGAAGCCCGCCAAAAGTTTTGGTTTACTCACGCCAGATCATTGTTAAAAACTGTACAACGTACTTGCGTAAAGTGCCGCATCGACAGAGCTAAACCGACACCGCCGCCGATGGGTCAGTTACCGGAGGATCGCGTCACCCCTTATGTCAGACCGTTCACGTACACGGGCGTAGATCTGTTTGGCCCATTTAACGTGACAATAGGTCGTCGACGTGAGAAGCGATGGGCAGTAATTTTCACGTGCCTTACTACAAGAGCGGCTCATTTGGAGCTCGCAAACGATTTGTCGACTGATGCGTTTTTGCTATGCCTGCGAAATTTTATTAACCGCCGTGGCACACCGATTAGAATACGAAGCGACAACGAGACGAATTTTGTTGGCGCCCAACGAGAGCTGAAAGAGTCAGAGCGAATTTTGGATTTTGAGCGAATATCCGATGAGGTCACCAGGCGGAACATAGACTGGAAGTTTAATTGCCCTTCCCATCCGAGTTCAGGAGGTTGTTGGGAGCGCCTCATTCGCGTCGATAAGAGATTGCTACAGAAAACACTGCGCGAAGAAGCACCGAGAGAAGACACACTGCGAAGCGTACTAATTGAAACCGAAAATATTTTGAACTCGAGGCCGCTGACTGAGGTGCCTTTGTCATCAGAGGAAGACGATCCCATAACTCCAAACCATTTTCTGGTTGGTTGTCCCAATTCAACGCAAACACCACAGCCAGTTGACCAAAAAATATGCCTCAGGAAACAGTGGCGTATCGCGCAAAATCTGAAGGACCGCATTTGGAAGCAGTGGATACGGCAATATTTGCCGCAATTACTCTTGCGCCACAAGTGGCACGACAATGTTGCGGCGATTGAGATCGACGACTTGGTTCTCGTCTGCGACGATCTCCAACCGCGGAGCCAATGGAAGAAAGGCCGAGTCACCAAAGTATTTCCAGCCAAGGACGGGCAGATCCGTCTCGTCGAGGTCAGGACCGCTGGAGGAGTACTACGTCGCCCTGCAACAAGGCTTGCCATCCTGCGAATTAAAGGTGAATCCCTACGTAATTCACGGTGGGGCGGGGTGTAATGGCACCCTGTCCATTTCATTTTAAATCGAAATCTAAACATATGGGCAACCTCGTCATCTGCCTTGTATAAAGGACAGCGATAGCGATGGGAGAGGCAGAGTTTTTACACAACAGCCAACGACAGAACAACACAATTTGGAAACGACGACGACAACGACAAGGCGAACGACGAACGAGGAGAAACAAAGAGCACTGAATAATCTAGAATCTTTTTTGCTATACAGCTATTTTACTTCTTTATTAACTTTGTATATTCAACACATGTTACAAATAAATTGCAGTAACAAAAGTTATGAACAAAAAACTTTTGTTAAATTTCGTTGTTTTCTATGAGCAATTACCACGTCAAAAATGCACTAAATCACCAGTTTCCACTTTTAAAACACTACTAAAACGATTCCGGTTATTATTTTATGCAAACCAAATCATTTATTCACTTTTATTTTATATATTTCGTTAATAAAACAGAGTAAACAAACATTGCGCCTGCTAAAATTATTATAACCCCAAATCGCTGGTATTGCCACTTTATTTCACATTTCATTTGCGCTATTATACTCGGTTTACACTATACACTTCTTCTTCTTCTTTTTACTAAATAAGATATTGTAACCAAAATATAATAGCAAATTTTGCTATACCATCGCGCGATTTTTTATTAAAAATTTTCATTATTTATAGAAGTATTGATTTTTATGGAAAAAGCGCCGCAGGCGAAAATTCGTATTAAAAAATCGCGCGATTTTTTATTAAAAATTTTCATTATCTATATATATATATTAAACGAAAGAAGATACCGAAAAGCATTGAACAGTGCACACATCTCATAAGTAAAAGTAAATTATTACGAAATACTAATACAGTGGCAGCACTATAGCTATTTTGGAATCTCGCGTTTCAGCTGGCAAAGATTGTCAACTTCTTTTTAATAACAAAATAATCTATCTTAGGTTGATAAAACTATGTGTTTCTTTAATAAATAAGTTAAATTATATATTTTAATAGTGTTTAAAAAGTGTGAGCAGGTGATTTAGTGAATCTTTGTCGGTGTAATTGCCCGTCGAAAACAACGAAATATAACAAAAGTTTTTTGTTCATAAGTTTTAAATGGTTAATAATATTATCTCCCCCCTCCGGATTGTTATTAGGGGGGCCGAAACGCGTCGTTTGGTACCCCTCCCGACTTTTCCGCACCTTTTTTAGGGGTTGTTACCCCACCCTAGAGAATTACCATTCTTGAAATCAAGATTTCTTAAAAACGGATGGATGGATCTTGATCTCATTTAATAGGAAATTTGATTCCCTTCATTTTGGTATACGTACTTTATATATATGTTGTATAGTTCTTACAAAAATTTAATCAATGTAAAATAATTATAAAAAAACACCTTTTGCAGAGAACACCTTTCTGCGTAGGCGGCCTGCGGCCGCACTTAGGGATCATAACCCTCATAACGTAGAATTCTCTTTCTGTGTTGCGAAGAAAAGGCACTGAACACCTTTTGCAGTGAACACCTTTCTGCGTAGGCGGCCTGCGGCCGCACTTAGGGATTATAACCCTCACATAGTAGAATTCTCTTTCTGTGATGCGAAGAAAAGGCACTGAACACCTTTTGCAGAGAACACCTTTCTGCGTAGGCGGCCTGCTGCCGCACTTAGGGATTATAACCCTCACAACGTAGAATTATCTTTCTGTGTTGCGAAGAAAAGGCACTGAACACCTTTTGCAGAGAACACCTTTGTGCGTAGGCGGCGTCGGCCGCACTTAGGGTTTGGAAGCTTTTTTTTTATAATTATTTTACATTAATTCAATTTTTGTAAGAACTATACATCATATATATAAAGTACGTATAGCAAATTAAAGGCAATCAAATTTGCTACTAAATGAGATCAAAATTTTCAAAATCCATTCATTCGTTTTTGAGAAATCTTGCTTATTTTGAACTTTAACCTTTGAGAATTCTTGTTGTTGTTGTTTGCCCAAAAAAAGAAGTATACCGTTATACTCAGCTCAATCATCTCTATCGATTTCAATATATTTTTTTTTAATTTGAGATTTAGAGCCCAACTGCATTTATGCCTTAATTTTTTATAAAAAAAATTAAAATTTCAAGCTTTTTAATTCGAATTTCTATAAAAATTTTGCGTAAGCGAATTTATAGCTAATTCAATTTGACTAAAACTCAGTGTAAGCTTATAGTTGCTAAAAATTCCAATAACTAAAAATTTTGTTTCGCGGACTGTATTGAGATTTTCTTGGAAAAAAAATTAATGTAATGTTAAGAGATGTAACCGCCCGTCTCCACAGGATAAATTTTATATCTTGATACATAAGTTAGAATATAAATAGCCAATGGAGACCGCTCATTGCTCTTCCAGAGCAATATGTATCAGAGCTTATATCTTGCCATCTATTGCCGGCAATTTGGTAGATTTACAGCTAAATGCTCATTTGCATGAAAACTTCGTGGCGGCAACATTATTTATATTTTAATATAAAAGCAAATATTGAACTGTTTTCGGTTAAAATATTTGTTATTGTGTAATTGGATGTAAAATAGCCTATTTTCTAAATTTTTTAAGTTATTAAATCCTGCACAAATACGTTTTAGAAGCTATCTCACAGATGCTTATATCAAGATATAAAAAGCCCACACAAATATTGCCACTGATATAACTTATATCTAGCGACCAAAATGACAGCTGGGCAGCATTAAATTTTATGCTGTGGCCAGTAGAGAGAGAAGTTTCGCGAAAAACCGACATAGCTTTCAAAAACTATGGATAGTAGCGACAGTTTTCAACTATCGATACTATCGATAGTATCCCAGCTTTACATTGAACCTCCCAACTCTGGTCTTTGGCCAGCTGTTTTTGTTTAGCCTGGAAAGATTTTGTAAATAAAAAAATGTTTTGATTTAGCTGCTGTAAAAATGCGTACAACCTCTATACAGTTATAAGTTAATAGGTAAGCATTATGCCTTAATTTCCACAAGTGGTAAAAAATTTGTTGTGCATATGCATATATTCATAAATAAAATGTGTACCGTTTTGAACATTGCTGATTAGGTACATTTATTTATATG